AAAATCCTACAAAAGATGGCTTTTCATTAGACTGAAGGACTAACAGCTCTCTAAAACAGATAAGATAATATCTTGTTTGTTTTAGATGTATAAAACTTTAACTTGTCAAAAGAGTTGTTGACGTTTTATTGGGTTATATTTGTCGAACCTCTTCTTGACCAGGAACAGTGACTTCCTGCAGACGACATTTAAAAGTGAATATTTGTGGAAGTATCATATCAAAATATATGTATCTCTCTACTGAAGATTTTAACTACTGTTGACCAAAACTCTTATGGCATCCATTTTTAAATTTCAGAATGGGGTGGTTCTGACAGAATCAAAGTGAAACTGATTGGTCTGCATCATCGGGTACATTTCAATTGTTGCCCCAGGGTTGAAAGAAAGCGACAGATCAGGCCATTGTAACATCTGGGAGATATTGTCTGCAGTAGCTTTCAGCTCTGCGTGCCGGGGAGCTTCTGAGCTGTGGTTTGTAGGACTGTAATTTGTTGTTTCTGAGCTGGGAGGGTGCGGCTGCGGCGAAAAAAAGGCCGCTGTGGTGGGAGGGGGCTGAAGATGCGTCATCTCCAGACAGACTGACAGACAGGAGTGGGTGGGTGGGTGGTCACAGGGCACTTAGAGGACAACCTTTCCTCCCTTTGTGTTCTTTCTTACTTTCTTTCTTTCTTACTACTCATATTCATGGCTGTGCAAAGACATTCTTCTGTTCTGCTTGCAAAAAAAACACAGATCAGTTTAATTTCCCCCACTACTTGTATTTGGTAAATACTTAAAAAAATCGTTCTCTTACTTCGCTCCATGTGGCATGCATGGTATATTTTGTGTTACACCAGCCTAGTTTACTTAGCAGTTGAGGAATGCACAGTATGTTTTTCCTTTAAGGAAAAAAAAAAGTCTGGGAATCACAATAATCCCACTGAAACGTCACATTATTTTTTATTCCCCCGATTTTTACATCTCTGCCTCGTTTAGCTTAATTATTCCACTTTCCCAGATGTATTATACAGTCTATGAAACAGATATGTTCCCACTGTCATTTCATGCTGTGAGGGGATCTGTCTTTCTCCTCACTCGGTGAATAATGACCTCATGAAGACGGGGCTCTCACTCGTATGTCACATGAAACACTCTGACGTTAAGAGATGGAAAACAAAGACTTTCTCCCCCCATTCTTTTTGTCTCGTTTTTCACTTCAGTTTTCTCTTGGAGTGAGCGCTGCATGGGAAAATTATACGCTTCTTGACTGTCTTGGAAAATACCTTTGAGCCAATATTATATTAGGTTTCGGCTGACAGAAAGGATAGTGTCAACTTTGAGTCTTTTCTTAGCTAGTTCACGTTATTGAATCACTTTGTCGAGCTCTAAATATCACAAATGAAAGATGAATCATCTTCAAATGAGATACTGGCTTTTTCTTAACTTTCTCCCCTTTTTTCATGGAAAATAATACTCATAGTAACAAAACTACTTCACTCCCTCTCCAATCCATTTCTTGCCACAGTCATTCAGACCACCGAATATGTGCGTTTGATTTTTAATAACACACCACCTCTAGACTCAGGAATGCGTTAGATCCATAAAGACAAAGGCGTGGTATGAAAAGAGTGAGACGCTAAGCTGACTGACGGCGAGAGTCAACGAGCAGTTTCTGATCATAAATCCTGCTAATGAACTCTGAGTTGATGATTTAAAGGGAAAGTCCGCTGGAAAGTAAAGTCCTTGTTATGATCTCAACTTTAAAGCGTTTTGCTCTTTTCAGTATGTAATGTGGTGCAGTCGTCCAACCACAGCGGCGCTCCAGGAGAGAATACACCCTCCACTTAATAGCTCTCTCACACACACATGGAAGAACACACCCGTTCACATATGAGATCTGCAGAAAACATTAGCCGCTGCATTGCCAGTATTTCTCAAGCTAAAATGAAGGAGGCAGATGTAAGGGAGATCTGCCATTGTGTGTTATGACATCCAAATGATTTATTCGTCTTGGAGCTCTGCAGAAAAAACAACATTAGACACATATTTGATATAGCATCCAATAATCTGGAGGATAAAGGAATAAAGGGCAGTGGTATTACCTCCTGTTGTTGAGAGATTTAGTTTGATCAAAAAGAACAAGAAAAACAGTAACAAAAAAAGAAAAATACAAAAAGGAAAACTAGCTTATGGATATATGAGAAGTGACTTTATTTGATTGTCTAATTCTGGGTTAATAACAGCATTTAGAACTTTATCAATAATGTTAAAAAAAGATACAATGGGTAGCTAAGTTGGAACAGTTGGAATATAGGTTTGTGTGCATGTAAATGGTCTGCAAAGGCTAAAATCCCTGAATTTCCTCCAGATGGAGTTTCTCTCACACACTCCATTGGACTCCTTTGTTTATTTCTGTAACACATTGACATCACTATGCAACACTGGCGCTTTTATTGGCTACTATGCCAACACATTGTACGTGCTAAGGGGCGGGATCTATCTAAGCGGTTGACCAATCACACCGTAGCCGGCCAGCTAACCAATGAGAGCAGACGCCAATGCAATGGTTTTTTAAACAGTACTTTCAGAAGTTGGTCTGATTTGATAGAAGTCTATGACTACTTTTTATTTATTTATTACCTCATTAAACATTTTCCTAATGAGCTTTTGGTCTTGATTGCTATTTTCAAGTTTTCTTCAATAAAGTGTAATGTTTATTTTTTAAATGATGTTCCAATTTAGAGTACAATAAGGATAACCCTGTAAATGCTTTATGGCAGGGCTACCTTGTGAAGTGTCGTCCCGGACTGGGTGTTGTCCCGTTACAGTATCTTCCTAAACTTGTACCCTAAAAGTTAATTAGAAGATTTTAGTGGCATGACACTAACTTTAGCTGTACTCCACCCTCTTGTCTTGGGACGTCATTGACAAACTCAAGGGCTTAAAAAGCATTGTTCCCAAACTAATGGCAGCTGTCTCAGTGACTATGTCCACTTCTTATGTCCTTTTTTTGAAAGTTACTTTAGATAATTAAGTGGGTTCCAGATTTTTATTTTGGGAAAGAGAAAACAAGGGTATGAGGTTGACGCTCTGTTTCTGCAGAAGCTGGTGTTTGTCAGGATTGTAGAAGGAGGTGTGCTGGCAGCTGTGTATTGTACTTTGCACTATGTTTCATGTCATCACAGTGACTTCATTTCACAAACAGATCTCTTTCTCACGGCCCCCGTCCCTGACTCCACCCATAAAATCTGTAATATGATTCCCTTATTTTCTTCTTTGTTCATTAGCATTGACCCTGACCATTCTTCATTCAGACACCTTTTCATCCAGACGGGGCCTCAGCCCAGACTTTCCTTACAGTGCTTCCTCTCTCCAGTCTCTGTGGGTTCAGATTGTGTAATCACGTTTGGAAAATACTTTATTTTCCTGACTTTCTGTCTGCTATCCTTATTTTCAACCCCCGCATCTTTCCTAGTTTCCTCTCGTTCTAAATCCAGTGCTGAGACTAAATCTGAACCCTGGAAACGAGCTCTTAAATGTTCCGCCTCCACAGTCTGTGCTGCTCACCTTCTTTTCCCCGCCATACCTGAGACTTCAGTCTGATTCTGCATGTTGCTGCCTGTTCTCAGTCCTGGCGGTTAAAGACCACTGTCACATGCTGTTAGGCAGTGAAAGGCTGCTTCTGAAGTATCCATTTAGCTTCAGATTTAAACATTTTAACCCACCAGTCGGGTGTTTAATTTATGTCCTTTTAATTTTCCTACCAGACTTTCACTATGCAAGGATGTCCCTGCTGTGTTTAAAGTGATCTTGTCCCCCAATTACGCCACAGCCCAGACTCCCTGGCAGTCCATGTCTAATAACTTCCATGTGCATACACTTGGCGCAGCAGCAAAAAGAGGCCTCCTATCCTATTTCTCCTCACCTCTTCTCTCCTCTCCTCACCTCTCGCCGTCTCCCTCACCCCTCCTCTGTCAGGATGAGGTTTTGTGTGTGTGTTAAAGGTCAAACTTCACCGATTAGCAGATCGAAATGGCAACAAGAAGTACCAGCTTGAAAAGATGCTAAATGTACCTCTGTTTAGAAGTGTTTGTTGTCTTATGGTGCTTAATTGGAATGCAGATAATTAAAAAGCGACTGGTCGACTGGTAGTAAAGCAAGTTGTTGTTAAAGCAAGTTGTTGTTAAAGTCATAATATTTTTGTTTAAAACTTGAGAGAAACTCCCTCTGGAGGGAACTTTGGGATCTTTTTAACTGACATTTTAAGAAGGAAACCTATTTTTCTCAGGGATAATGGCTCAGGTATCCCAAAATGTTGAATGTATGTGTAATCTCACATACTATGAATTCCGACATGTCGTGGACTTTCAGCATTACATCTTTAATGATGGTAGTGCCATAGTAGCATTGTTTGGTTTCAGTTTTTTCTTTTTCTCTGGATTCCTTCCCTGCAGTTTTCCCCACAGTATTGCTCGCTCTCAATTTCCTCTGATTGTTCTATTGTGGATATCTCAAAAACAACTGGACTCAACAAAAGCTCCCCATAAAACGGCTGTGAATACTGCACTTGCCATGAATCTCTCCAGCTAGCTACTTTCCCATGCATTTCTAGATCTCTCGCATATGTCAGAATAAAGCTGTTGAACAGATCCATGACTCTACCTGCTGCTGACTGGCTGGAGGGACCTGTTAGTCTGTCAAGCTGATGTGACTTTTACAGTGGTACAGCTCAAAGTGAATCATGCCACAAACCTTTTTATTTTGTCTGTTTGCCGTATTTGTATGATATAACACTAAATCATCAGCCTGAGTCTCTTCCTGGGGTGAATGGATACAAAATGAGCAATTCCACTCAGACGAGACTCATGAATAACTTCCTTTTTTTGTGTTTCATAACTTCTTATTTACTTATGATGTTTGAGTGTGTGTAAGCATTTCCTTTTCCTCTCAACAGATGTGATTCATAGCTCTGAACTGCTCACCCCTCGGTATGACAAATCTCCCCCTGTCTCTCTCTGCAGTTGTGTGTCCCCTGACGTGTATGAATGGAGGAGTTTGCAGCTCGAGGAAGCACTGCCTTTGCCTGCCTGGCTTCACCGGGCGGCTCTGCCAGTTTCCACTCCATCACACGCAGCAAGCTCAGGCAGCGCGGGGCAACAAGCAGCCCATCTACCCCCTATCTTTGAAGCCAGACATCCATAAGCAACTGGAGCATTTAAGCATATCGCGTACACAGTTGATGCAAACCCACTCAGTTTTCACCCTACCCATGTCACACTCTTCTGAAGGTATCTATCATTCAATACAGATAATGTTAGAGCTTTTGCATCTACCAATTTGATTTGGTTAATGATTAAATATGTGTTTGTGATGCATTTCATTCCCCCAATGTCTTCTTTTCCTATGTTTTCAGTGCAGTTAAATGTACGTGTTCACCACACGCCAGACACCTCTGTAGTCATTCAAGCTCTCGACCAATCAGATGTCAAGCCTCCTCACAAGACAGGGCCTCGTCCGATCCCCTCCAGACACAAACCGAAGGGACGCTGCTTCCAGGAGACCACACCCAAACAAGCTGTGAGTTCACGCTGCAGTCATAGACAAAGTGAAAAGGCTTTTTATTATTTGTATTTCCACTAATAGCATTTCTCTCTCTCGTCTCGCTTTAGTGCAACAGCACCCCACTTCCTGTTCTGACCAACCAGGAGGATTGCTGCGGCAGCGTCGGGAATTCATGGGGACAACACAAGTGTTACCAGTGCCCCAAACTGCCAAGTGAGTTACAGTTTGGTTTGAGGAATTCATCTTTTGTGTACCTTTTACATTTCAAGCTACTCTGATTCACTTTTTCCAGCTGTTTGGATGCCAAGTGTACACTATCTAGTTGTTTTGTTCCAATGTCAAAGAACAGCAAATTGTTTATTGAAAGAAGTCCTTTGTTGTTTTTTATCCGGTCTACATCTCGTGTGTTCCTGGGAATGAATGATTGTTTATTGAGCCAAACATTTCAAACATTCCCTGCAATTTATCCATTTAATCTTATAAAACGATGGCCCTTGATTAAAACAATTTCCATACCTATAAAAATATGAACATGAGAGGTAGTGGTGAGGCGGGTTAGGGAGTGTGTGAACGGTTGGGAATAAAAAAAACGGAGAAATTACGGGAATTACACACAGACGGTGAGACAGAAAAAGAGAATGTGGAAAATAACCCTCCACTTAAGCGTGTTCCTTTGGGCCTGCCCAGTGCAGGACTGTCATCACATTGCTGGAGATTGGATTTCAAGAAAATCTTGGCTACTCACGTTTTTCCACTCCGCTATTATTCCGTCTCTCAGTTCTGACTCACACAATGCAGCCTTTGACAAAACCTGATATACTGTACGTCTGTTTAGTCTTCAGACAACTGGATTCCTGCCCGGAGTAATGTCTGTTTTGTTACATTCATATCCATTTATAAACTTTTTATGAAAATGGTTGATGTAATCTTTACCCTCTTTTATCTTTACCCTTGGCCTTTCACGATGTTTGTGTGGGTGCAGGCTTCCCACAGCGCTCTAATAAAACGTACATGTTTTTACTCCCTGATGGAGCGAAGAACAACAGTGTTAGATGTTCAAAGCTCATTTAGGGTTAGAATAATAACATAATATTGCATTGTTAGTTCAAACCTCATGAAAGACTTTCCTAATTTTTGACAAGCTACTGTACATTTCAACAAAGGCCTCATTAAAGCTGGCATTATTAAGTACAAAGAAAGGCAAAGACAGAAGAAAAGAAAACATTTGGTGAAATTGTCCAATCATAAAATCAAGCAGAAGTGCTTATTCACATTTTGGGAGGAGATTTTTAAGAGAATAATGTTGTCATCTAACTCAAGCAAGTGTCTTCTCAAGATGTCAACTATTGCTTGTCAAAGTTGACATCTTACAACAATTACTTGTTGTTTAATTTTCTGTTTCAGAAAGTTAACCAAATTGTTAGTTTTACCTAAAATGAGTTTATTCAGGAAAACAGCATGTGGTGCCAAAAGATAAGCTAAACATCCTGTAAAGTTTTCTGAGATTGTCAAAGCTGAATACTAACAAGAGCTGCAATTCAATATCTATTGCGCTTGTTCAACAACTATTTTTCAAGGGAATTATCGAGTAGAGCTGGTTTGTACGATCCAACCTCAGGCCTCCCCGTTACAGAAACTCACTGGCGTTTTTCTCCCCTTCCCCTCCTGTGCTTTGCCTTGTCTTCTCCATCCTCAGATGCATCAGTCAAGCATACCATTGTGGAAGAGTACGGCTCCACCTGTCCACAGGGCTATAAAAGATTCAACCGCACTCACTGTCAAGGTAAGGATGAAGCTAAACGCTCTGTAGCAAGTACAGGCTGAGTTTGAGAGTTGTTTCTGCTTTATAGAGGCCCTATTCTACTAATTATCAGGTTCATAATTGTTTGTTGTTCCTCTACTGTGACATGTATACATGCTTTAATGTTCAAAAAGCTCCCTTTTCTCACCCTCTGCCTGAAACCAGAGCCCAGTCTGGCTGGCTGTGTTTTGATTGGTCAACAAGTTAGAGATGTTCCACCCCTTAGCCTATCATGTGCAATGTGTTGAAACGCCAGCCAATAAAAGCGTGAGTGTTACGTAGTGATGTCACTTTGTTACGGAAGAAAACAAAGGGGTTAAAGTCAGGCCATCAGGCAGTCGGGGAGTGTGTGAGAGAGAAACTCCCTGGAGGGAACTTTTGGATTTTAGCAGTGCATGCTCAAAGCCTCTATGTGACAAAGATCTTGTAGCAATAATACATATTTATCAAAATAACCTTTTTCTTATTTTTTTCTGACCAACCTGTTAGATATCAACGAGTGCTCGATGCAGGGTGTCTGTCAGAACGGAGACTGTCTGAACACACTGGGCAGCTTCAAATGTACCTGCAAGGCGGGTTGGGTGTTTGACAGGAGTCGATGTGTTGGTGAGAAAAGAGGCCTCTCTCTGCCTTTCACTGGAAATCCACTTGAATAACATTATAGTTTAGTTTCATAGTGGGATTCCCAAATGATTCCCTTTTGTCTCTCCTGTCAGAGTCCCAAGCTGAGCAGGCTCAGTGCTTCCTGATAGCCTCTGTTGTCCGGGGCTGCGAGCACGCGCTGGCCACCCCCCTCACCCAGGAGATGTGCTGCTGCACGGTGGGAAAAGCCTGGGGCCGCAACTGTGAAAGATGTCCTCAGGTGGGCACAGGTGAGTGGACGGAGAGGAGAGGTTACTGGCTGAGAACATTTCCTACTTATTTTTAACGATTAATCAATCAAACTTTATTTATACAGCACTTTTCATACATAAAAGGAAATAAAGTGCTTCAAAAAACTATTCTAACCTCCCACCCTTCCCAGGCAATACATTCCAAGTAAAACATAACTTTGTGATTAATAAAATACTTAAAACCAATGAACATAAAATAAATAAAATATATAAAATAAATAAAAATAAAATGTCGTAATAAAGTCCTCTGTCATACTGTTCATTTAAATGGCATATTGGACATTTTTTGATGTCATATTGGAATATGTATACAATTAATGTAGTTAATTAAGGAAGTTGAGCAATTCAGCCAACATCTGGAATATCTTTAAACTTGCTTCCCTAAGAATTGAGATTATATAAAAGTGAAATTAATTTATTGTGAACTCCTCTCTTCTGATGTGACGTGATGCTCAGTGGCCTTCAGTAAGATCTGCCCTGCTGGGAAAGGATACTTGCTCCAAACTACAATAGAGACCATGGCCTTCCCTCCCATCATCTTCCCCCCTAAGCCCGAAAAGGAGGGTGAGTCCTAAATACGCCTCACACCACTCTTCTCACCTCTCAAACATTTCTGCTTCTGGTTTGTTTAGGACGGATTATGTATATTAACAGTTGCTATCTCTCATTTATTTTAGATCCACTTCCAGAGAAAGTGACTGAACAGCCTCCTACTAGCACTACCAGTCGCCGTGTGCCCGGTAAACTCCCCTCTTCACACTCCATATGGACAATATTAAAAAAACGCTAAATAATTTATGTTAACTACTGGTGCTTAAAGGTGGGGTAGGTAAGAATGGAGAAACCAGCTCGAGTGCGCTCGAATTTGAAAGTACACAACCGGAACAAATCTGCCACTTCCTTACAGAGCCCCTCCTCCAACACACACGAACATGCACATGACCAATGAGGGCACGAGATAAGTTTGTGCACAGATGGAAGGCTGACAGGCAGGTAGGCCATCCAGTTATTTTAGCCGGGCCGGCTAAAATGATTGGTCGTGCTTTTTACAGTACTACGGCTTCCACAGATGATATTTTTTTATGTATTTATTGTCAAAGCATTTAATATATTCATTGCTATCGGGATGTTAAGAGCATTCCATGGAATATAACAAAAAGTGTTTCTGAAATAAATTACATACCCCACCTTTAATGTACTCCACCTGTCAAAATAAGGGGAATGTTTTTGCAACTACTAGTGTAGATAAATGTTCCCCATGTGTGGTGAAGAGAAAAACATCAGGGACTAAAGATCAACATGTCATATTTCCTCCTAAAGTCTGCCCACTTCATCTCTCCTCTGTTGAATCCACAGTTGTTAAACCCACCCCGCCAACAATCGTGAGAATGACCCCAGGCAATGACCCCTTCGAAACACAGACAAAAGTCTTGCGTGAGTTTCCTGCAAACAGACTCAAACATGTATTCTGCTTTAACGTCATAGAGAGTTACTTCTGTAAAGGCTGGTTCATGTTTCATGCGCATCGAAACTGGAAAACCCAGCTCTCATATTCCCCAGTAAGAGAAGATATTGTGGTCCTTCACTCACAAATGACATGTTGACTTTTTCCATGTAACAACATCATTTATGAAAGCATGCAAAAAAGTATTTTGGACCTTGAGGCAATGTCTCCTGATAGAAATCAATAATGAAAGTCTAGCTTAACAGTGAGCAAAGTGTAGTGTGACGCATGCTTCTTAAATCCCTAACAGACGGTTGTGCATGCCTCGTGCATTCAACCATGAAGCATGAATCAGCCTTAAGGCGATGTTCACACTCTTCATGTTTAAGTGTTGACATAACTATTTTTTCGTGCTGGCATTAAGAAGCAGGTTATGTGAGACACTTCATTTTCATAAAAAGAAAAAAGACATTCTTAATTGAGTGTTGGATTTCTACTCATGGGTGTCTTCATCAGCCTCTCTTTGTATTTCTGACTGACACCTGTCGTTGGCTTTGATACAAAGAAGCCAGATGCTTTTAAAAACTTGAATAGTGTGAACATGTTAGCAGCTGAGTGTTACCAGCTTTATATATATATATTAAATAATGATAATATATATTCCCGCATACATCTGCTATGTATCTATATATATGTATGTTTATATAAGATGCATGTGCTCCCTCCTTGAAGCAGAGGCAGATGAATGCAGGCTAAGCAGGAACATTTGTGGTCGCGGGGAGTGTGAGAACAGCCTGAACGGCCACATCTGTCACTGTCACCCTGGCTACCATCTCAACCCGCAGAGGAACATCTGTGAGGGTAAGAGACAATGGTAGAGACATGGTGATGGATAGCAAAGAGACATTTCTCCTGAGGTTTCTAATGCATGGATGTCTCCTGGCAAGCATACTCAGTTAGATATATAATTTATAGAGAAGGGGATAATTTAACCGTCTATGAATTGTAAGCAGTGGCTCTCATCCTGTCTACTGGGTTATATATAGATAGTGCTTTTAGATCAGCATTAAAATACTTGTTCTGTCTCTTGGGTGTAATCACTCTCAGTAATGGTTGTTTTCTGAATCAAAAATAGATACATTAGAAGAAATGCTGTGTTTCGGCTGTGGGGGCCCATTCACTTGTGAAATCAAAACTAAAAGTATAAATAATAATAAAATCTCCCATGGAGAATACCTCATCTTGCGAAGAACAGTAAATGCATTTGGTGGTTTTGAAGCGAGTTTTTGAGGTATAAAACAAGCTCTCACCTAGGACTTGGAGATGCATCATGGGAAATGTAGGATCCAGCGATGACAGAGTCTCTAAGCTGTATTAGAGACTGAAAGTCATCTGCTGCTTTGATTTGGATGGATTTAAGAAATGTGACCCCTTTTTAGAAACACAAATGTTATTTTAAAAACAAGAAAGTCATTAAAGGTCCCATGTCATGGCAATTTCTACTGATCATAATTCCATTGTTGAGGTATACTAAAATAAATCTATA